CTTTCAAGAATACTGTAATATGGATAATGAGTGCACAATAGTTACATGGCACAGCTGGGAAATCTTATACATAAGGATCACCAACCACTGATCACTTTTTAGTTTATGGGTTCTTTTTTGGCTTATTTTATTAGGATTGCTTAGTGAAAAATCACAGGAAAATATATCAGCACCTCTCTCATGTTTTCAGTCAATTTAGTCTTGCTTAGTTGTAATTCATGGCTTCAGTTTATGTTTTAAATCTCATCTAAGCAACTACAATGTAACAGACACATATATATTTAATTCCACTCATAGGCATTTCTTCTAATCAGTATATGCTTTATTTTGATTTGCTTATTTTTCAGACCCGATTTCTATCCTCCGTCCTATGAAAATAGCATTGATCCTGAAAAACAGATTGTCTCACTACCAGCTTCCTCTTCTGTCACAGAAGAAGAGATCTACAACATCCCGCCGCCTCTGTATACTGAAAGCAGCACAGAATTCATAGACGAAAGTAACTATGAGGAAGAACAGCCACCATCATATGAAGTGTCTGTGCAGCAGGGGGAGCAGCAGCAGCAGCAGCAAACAGGCGAGCACAACTCAGATACAGAAGGGGTCTCAGGCACTTGTCAGGGACCCATGCCAGGAACCGGTTACTAATAATATGAACTGTCAAGAGACTTTAGAAAGAGCAAAGCACGTCAGCTATTCTGAGACAAAGTCAATGGATAAGACACTGAATGTGCAAAGTACTGCTGGAAATAACGCTACACACAACCGTATTTAAGTACCAGGTTCAAGAACCGCCTGTTCAGACAACACTGAATATGCAATCTTTGTTCTGGTGGCATTAAAAGGGTTGTTGGAGGAGGCTGTTTCCCATATTTTAAAAGAAGAACAATGCTTTCTGGCCTTAGAAGGGTCTGCTAATGATATTAAGTGCAACCCATAACTGTTGATTCATGCCAGCGTCATTGCAGCTTGTTTACATATTTCAGTATTTAACAGGCTTACTGTGGCTACACAAAGAAATGTCAGTAAAAGATTCCATCACGTGAAGAACTGAAGCCCCTCGCTCCAGGCAGACTTGCAGATCCAGGGCTCGTTTAGGGTTCTGGGTTCTTTCTAGAAGGCAAAATGTTAATCAATATAAAAAATATCCATTATATCGAGGGAACCAACAGGCAAGAAAAGATGTGCTTTGCGTTTCCTGAGCAGCTTGGAGGAGATATTTATTCTTGGTGTTAAAAGAATGAGGGACTTGCGGCTGCCTCCAACAGTTCACTGTAGAAAAAAACCATTTCCTCCATCCCCCATGCACTTGTTTCACTATAACTGTATCCCTTAAAACTATTGGGAGCACCTGGATTTCCTTCTTTGTGGATTGAAGCTTAAGTATGTCTGCTAGTAGAGAACCCGAGCCTAAACTGCTAAAACTAATGAGAGACTTTCTAAAGATTTCAGCAAGTGTTTGACTAGTACTGGCTGGTATTAAGTGGCTCCACCTAATGCAGGGGGAGAAAAGGTCTTCGCTAATGTGGCATTTTTGCTTCAGCTTGACA